ACCCGGTAGATAACCAGTGATATTCCCACATTTTCTTCCCAAAAAGTTTTGTTAAATGGGGTGGGACTGCATAGTGCTGCTTCTACAATTTTTACTGTAGACCAAAACCTCGCTTTCAGACAATAAGGTAAATGAGAGCATCCAGTATAAAAAAGTGTCATTGAAAAATTGTCGATCAGATGAATAATTGACAAAATTAATAAGACTCTATTTTTCAATCACAGAACTGGTGTCAATATAATTTCACTACAGAGAGCAATGGCAACAAAAATTTTGCCAATGAAAGCGGGGCTTCCACATTATAAATACATCCACTGGAACCACCATTAATACCCAATAAGGTCACTCTCACGTTCCCTTGATATGTTAATGCTGTAAAAATCGCATATCTAACATAACAATTTTCAAACAGCACTTGACAGTTACAGGTTTTTTTCAGAGCACAGCCTTAATACTGAAATCATCATACTCCCCTATAAGATTATGTGCATGCTCCCCCATGCTATCGTAAACAATCCAAATGTGAATTGAAAACATTCTAGTATCATTTTTACAAAATCATAGTCCCGAATAATTTCAGAATTAGAACATCTTAAAAATTATACTTTGTTTGCTCAGTTTCAAACATACTATCCCATACCACATCAAGCACTTCATAGAAATGGGTCTAAACAGATTAGGTGAAAATTTCCAGAACCCATTCAAATTGTAGAAACATTCTTGATCTAGGCCTTTGAAAATCGCCAATAATGCGCATGAAAGAATAAATATAACAGTTGGCAATTTCACGGTTTCCCTAAGGTTTTACTTCCAATTACGATCAGTGTCTTAAGTTAACCCTTAAAATTCTGCCTGACAGTCAAAAAAACACGCCAAGCTTTTGAAATGGCAGGACTGGCCAATTATTTTTATTTGACATAAACCTTAACAGGTGTTGAAATTTTAACTGTACTTCAGCTAGCATTAATGCATTTGGAAGAAACATAATTGGCTGAGACAAGTGAGCTTTTCATGTTAAAAGCTCACACAAGTCACAAACCTCACAATTGTATTTATAAAGTCTACCAGAATTTAACAGAACAGGAGAACGAACAAACAAGCCACAGAAGCATGAATAATAGTATCAGGTTGGTAACCTAAGTGGGCAATAGACACAAATTCATCATCCTAAAGGGATAGGACATTGCCACAACTGGTATTATGAAAAGCGAACATCACAGCCAACGGTAGCATCAGTGAGAGGGACTGGGCGCAATCTATGTGATCCTAAGTATACCAGAAACAAGCATTGTAGGTTAAGACCAAAAAAATGATGTTAACGAAAAGCCAGGGGGAGGAATTGAGTAGGAGAAAACAAGAGATGCAACGTAAGAGGTAATTTAGCCTGCTGGCATTCTGTTTAAAAAGACCAAAAATAAATACCTGTATAGATGTAAAAACAAGAGAAGAAAACGATAGTATGTGCTCCACATACGAAGATATATAGAAGAACTGAGTTATGAGATAAATACGAGAACATGGACCCGCACGAGATGAATGTATATATGGTTATTATGTAATAATTTACAAAAAGTATAAGAACGTTCAAATACAGTCCAGCCATCTTATTTTTTCTAATCTAAATGAAGTAATATTAAAAAATCCAATGTAATCTATACACACCAATTCATATTCAGTAAATTCACAGAAATCATTTTTAAAGCACCCAGGCCTTTATCACAATTTATTGCCTGCTTGAGTTGGGTGGAGTGAACCACATACATGCGAATCTCATAAAACAATAATAACCTGTTACAAAAAAGTTGCCTCCTGTGATACAAGGTGGTATTTATGCCTAATGTAACATTATGCAACCCAGGAACGTAAAACACGCACTAAAAGTGCAAACACACAATTGAAGAGTGTTTTTTTTTTATTATCCGTGCCTGAGCACCTTAGTCAGCAGGTTCATCTTGCGCTAATCTACATAAATAATAAGCAAGTTAGCACTCTTCCAACCAAAACTTTGGGTTCTGTGCGCCCCACCGGGCTACGATTCTCTCATATAAAAAACCAGTAAAGGTGAGGAATCACCTCTCACACATCTATACTTTCAACCCACACAACGATAAAAAGCCTGGCATTCGACTGGTATTTAGTTATTACGCCAGTCTGTCTAAGATAATTGGAATCGGAGTATCTCTCACAAAAAAATAAAGTGCAAGAAAATGAACTTCTTTCAGCTCTAAAGTTGACAGCAGGCAACGAAGCAGGATGTGACTTGAAGACTCAATTGTCCCAACACCCAGAAAATAAATTTGGTTTGCTAAGAAAGAGAAAAGGCATCCAGAACTGTAGGTATGTTCGTACACCACCTTCTAGTATAAGGATTAACCTCCCACCTGAAATGCTGAATAACTCATTTTCTGAAATCAAAGGGAAATTTAACACAAATATTAATAGAAATGTATGTATGCTATAGGCTAATATACAGAAAAGTGATGACGCAAAATAAAATGGAAATAGAGAATCCCTATCTCATTACTTTCTGTAACGCGATAAGCCTTAACAAGAGGATAAGTAATAAAGCGCACAATCCTAATAAACGAAGCCCTGTACATATCTGTCAGAACTCATTCTAACATGATAAGCGAAGAGTCGGTAATGTATCCACACGTAGACGAGAACAAAGAGACACCAGAATCATAATATAGCAAGCTACACAGCGTTTCCTTAATAGTTCGAGGTTAACCAGAAGTTAGGGCTGGGGATTAAATACCAAGGGAATATTCCCCGTCCGAATAATACCAGAATAACATAATACCATTACAATGCAGACCCAGCAGAGTGGCATTGTCACCAGATAAAATAAGTTGCACAAATGTGAACCCCCCGAGGGGTATTGCGGACACCGACATTAGGATTGATGTTGCGGCCTCACATCAGTTTAATAATGTACAGGTGGGCAACACGGCCACAAGTCTATCTTTCCTGGGTCAGGCCAGACAGTATGTGCAACCACGTGTGGTCGGTGCTTAGGCCATGTAATCCTCAACCATTCGGTACGTAAAAAAATATTATTGTGTTAAAAGCTACAAGAACCAGAGTTCCTGCGTACAACACAATACATACGGAGCGACAAAACACTTTTCCAGACAGAGGAAGAAAACCACATAAATAAAAAAGGCGGGCATTGGTTCACGCCATGCAAATAACAAAACCCGCCTCCGAGACCTTTCGGTTTACATTTTGATAAAATGCCTGCCGTAGTGAAAAACAGTACAATATTGTCAGTGTAATCAACTAAACTATGTATCATAGGTCAAGCTTTTAAAGAATTTCTTAAGCGTAGGGGATCAGCAGAACTACGTAGACAAGTATAAACAGACTAAATTTCCGGGTAATTTGTTAATGCCGCGGAAATCTTATTCTTAGCCACGGTTCAATAGAACCAAAAACCTCGTTTTGGTTAATCCGTCTGAGTAACGCGCGAGAACCGAGCATCTCTATCTTAATGACAAGCTGGAAGCGAACCTGTCACTATTTTGAAGCTTTCTGAGAAGTTGAACCGTAGTGCTGTCCCGCTATCTACTTGTGCTTGCACGCACAGTCTAGCTCTACACTTACAACTGGCTATATGGATGCTTCGATGTGATATCAAGCACCCATCTGAGTATGCGGTTGTCATAACATATCCACAAAACGACCAATAAGGTGCACCACTATCTACGGGAGGACCCTATAAAGTTCAGTAAGTAAAGTTTGTGAGAGGTTGCTCTCTTGTATCAAGCCCCGTTTTTAAATTGTGACAGCAGCATGTCCCTTCACTGACAATTGTAATACTTAGGGCCAAGACACCGTCACAAGCGGCTTATAGAACATTTATCGTATAAATCCCACGGTGAGAAAAATCAAACATATAACGAGGTAGACTGTGGCGAGCGCTTTGAAATAGCGTAAAGAGGTGGCAGGCCAGAGAAAGCCAGGGCTAACAATCTAAGAAAAAACCTAAGCATGCACAACCTTTCTCCCCCCCTTCTTCTTCTGTCGGCCTTTGCTTTCTCTTATATCTTCACGCGCCGAACCGCCCATATATGCAACCACCAGTCTCGTCTGTCACTTCATGGACAAAACTTCCACCCAGGACAAGAAGAGACCTATGGTGGGCCAAACTAGAAAGTCTGGAAGCCACCATGAGAGCTGGACGAAAGGTGGTTGATCATTACTATCTAACCCGTTGACGTAGCTGGATACAAGTCCAATCATATAGAAAAATTGACAGAAACAACGATAGTTATAAAATGCACACAGCGGCTTGCAAAAGGTCCGAACACCACCACACTGACTAGCTCCAGTCCTGAATCTATACATCTGTTGTTTCAGTGTGAGTTGATAAACTAGCAGAATTTCATGCAGCAGCGCGACAAAATCATGCTTACACTAGCAACGATTATTAGTGTCATAGTATGAACCCCTCTCCATCGTACTGATGTTTTTAGTTATGCCACAGCTTCTAAAAATTAAATGACCGGAGCAACAAATACCTAACTAGTCAAAGAGCGATTATACGCTCAGAAATATTACGACTAAAAGCTGTACTGATAACTGTCACAATGACATGGACACTTTTTAGCTTTTCAGCCGAGCATCGCGCAGGCTATAACATCTATTTGCATCTGATGCAAACGTCTGTATATGCACCTCTGTTATTTATTACTCCTGAACATTTTTGCAGCTGACATCTTTATAATAGTATTAGTAGACAACCTGAAAACAAATCACTTCTAAGTGCACCCTCGCCTAGTCCGTCCAATAACAATCTATAAATTCGTTCCACTGTATAGAAGCTGCGTGTGCGAGTGCCACCTCCTTTTTCTTAATTTTAAAAACAAAAAAAAAAGGACACTTAATATACTCGTACTGTCACAAGTTCTCTGATTCTCAGGTAAATATTACTCGTTGGGCCGTTAGTTTTTATGACGAGAGTCTTCCTGTGTTATAGGTGTTAAGTCTTCACAGTACAGCACGTTTGGTTTTTGTATCCATTTAGAAGAAAATTATATGCCCCAGTTCAGGCGACCATTCTACAAACTTTTACTGCACTAATCTGTGTTTAATCCAAACCAAAAGTATAACAACGCGTAGCAACATTTCCCTTCTAGATCCGGCGCTATTGAGAGAATGTATTCAGTAAAATGATCGTTTGTACTCAGCCGATAGCTGATTAGTATTGTTAAAGATAAGAAATCTAATAATGTTGAAGACCTATGAGGACCATTGTTGACATACCTAACTATTGTCGGGTTCTGCCATTTTAATCACACCACTATCTTTTAGCTTCTGATTTTTCCGTTCACATTTTTCAATCCTGAACGTACTAACTTTGGCCCATACCTTTACTCCCCTGTTGTTTCTCCTGTTTGTCAACATGTTGTTAAAGCCCACTGAGTGTAAGTCGGGTTATTGTTTTTTCGTACTTATTCAGCATAGTGCCTATTCAATTGCATGAGCATTTTAGCCTGCCTCCTCTTTATCATTATTGCCCATCCCTTTGTTGGTGCCAATATCATAAAATGCACTGTTGTCTGCTGCATAATACATCTGGTAATATTCAGTTCTTTCTTCTTAAGAGCCCTTCAAGAACTCGCTGCTGAAAATAGAAAGGGCAAAACAATATGAGCTTCCTCCAGTCAAATGTTCCTTAAGTGCATTGAGACATGTGACTTGCAAAATGCATCAATACCTTTTAATCTGGTATTTGTAAAAATCTCGGTACTACAACTGCACAGTTCCATATCAACTGGTTCCATGGTTGCCGAAAGATCAATAAAAGCATTGTCACAACCATCTTGTGTCCAGGGCAAAACATACACATTTCAGCAGCAGTCACGACATTCTTAGAAAACTGGCACTAAGAAGGATGGTGTATTTTTTAAACAAGGTATGTGGTGAAATGAACTGAAATGGATAAAGAACACAAAAACGTTGTTGCTTAACCCTCCAACCTAACAACGGCCACGATTACCTGAAGGAACTGTGGACACAGACGGTGGCACCAAGCTTCTACACTACCCGTCTTGTGTTCAGTTTAATTAGTGCAATGAAGGATAACAATACATTTACGGACTTTGCATCAGATGCAGATGTTTGTTTTTGGTCTCGAAGTAAAGAGATTTTGAAGTTCGTACAGTGGTCATCTAGTATCCTCCTTTGACCCTATGTGCTGTCAATAAAAAACAGGCTAAAGCTGTTTGTGGCTGTGCTGAATCTGTAGCTTTTTCCCCACAGTGAAGAATGAAGGTAGACATGTGGTATTGACCTGCACACCAGCTGTGGTTTCAAACTGACTGCTCTAAGCACGGCCTGACCAGCTCATAGATACGTGAACGTTTAATATAGATGGTGGAACGATGGTTGGAAGGCCCCTGGGCCATAGAGAACAAGCCAGGGCTTTTTGCCAACCACTCAAGTTCAATCCCTCCCAACGCATCATAAAGCCGCAGCCACAGGGTTCCCGTGCATCATGTTGGCCTGCCATGGCTAAGTTTAATGTCAGTGAAGGGGACGAAAATGCTGGCCTGTCACAAATTTAAAAACGGAGCGCTTGAAGAGGCAAATTTACTTGTGATTAGTGCTTGTGGAATGATGAGCAATAAGATGTTCTGAAGGCTCCATAAAGCGAACAGAAAGCACGAGAAGCAGCCTCCAGCCTAAGCAGATCAGGTGGCCCATCACAGTATGTCTAGAGCCACACTGAATAAGAGAACAGTTTTCCCTCAGAGGAACACATTTATAGAAAGGTAAAAGTTTGGTTCAACAGTAGCTTAACTGTATTCTGCTGTCCACAGTGGACTACTGCTATGAAATGCTGACCTGACATTTTATATTAAATTGATTACAGCTCTAATACCCTTTTTTTTTTTTCTTCCTCCTTTTGTCAGTGTTCAGGCTGGGAAACACAATAAATTCCATTGAGGCTGCTAAGCGAACCATGCAACTCTCTGACCGAGTGCTGTGCCTGTGCCTTACTGTGGCCAACATCAACCGCGCCCTCTACTTTATCTGTGACAATGCACTTTGGGCCAGAAATGTCGGTCTTATCCGCGATATCGACAAGGAACGCTGGAGCCTAAATGCTTCTCGCTGCTACTTGCTCTCGCTTGTTATGAGTCTGACCAGAGATGTTTATGTGGTCTTCCAGTTAATGGTACAGAAAGCAAGAGATAGACACTTCAGACAGAAAATGGATCAGCATCTCAGTGAGAATCCTGAAGTAGCTGATGTTGTCATTCCTCAGCTGGATGCTTTTCTCTTTCTGCTGTTGGACAGTCTCAAGTCACATCCGGCTGTTGCCTTGGACACGGTGAAGAATATATGTGATCTCTTCATTCCCTTAGACAGATTGGGTATATACCAGTCGAATGCAGGAGTGGTGGGATTATGTGGTCTGATATCCTCACTTATTGGGATTGTGACCCTCGCACAGCCCAAGTTACGAATCAAACCATAATTTTGATTGCGAAGATAAACCTGGCTGACTAACTGCACGTAAAAAAAGGTTTATCGTGACGCCTGGTGCATAATGACATTAGGAAACACATCACAGGAACTTTTTGTAACATTTATGTTAGAATCATGTATGTTTCACACCAAACTCAAGCCAGCAATAATTGAAAGGCTTGCATGTTTCTGGGATGACTGAATTTGATTGGTTTGTAATACATTTTTTATTAATTATTTGATTGAATGATTGGACCGATTACGTCATACTTTTGAAATAGACACAAACAATACATTCAACGGGGACCAGTTACAGTTTAAAACAACAGTTTAAAAGGGAGCAAATAACGTTTCCATAGTAACCTTTTATATTTTTGTAATTTAAAAGAGCCAAGGCTAAACCTTTGTGCATTCCTGTCTTCTACAACTCCACATATAACATCATTTTTTGTAACTACTGTATTGTAAAAATAAGGGCTCCTCACTGATGCAAGCGTTTGCATTTCACCTGTCTTTTACAAAAAGTAACACCTCACTATGAATGGCATTGCCACTTTAGGTACACTGTCTTTATCTGCTCTCTGTTTTGTGATAACCTGCTGCTAAAAGTTTTAACTCTGTGATTTAAGTGATGAATAAGCTCCTTCTCAGCCAAAAGTGCTTCCAAATGGAAAATGCAGCTGAGAGATTTCACCTGTTTATTTATATTTCATCCTGCCATTCAAAGCTTGGCCTGGACTTTGACTGTCAGCAGATTAAGGTTAACTTAAGACATTATTGAGTAAAAACGTGAAATCATGTTACTATTTTAATGAGCCAAGATACCCTAGATAATGTTTCTACAATTGAATGGTTAATATATTGTTTAGAAATTGTGTGCTTGTGTATGTATGTTTGAAACTGAGCAAACAAGTGTATGATAAGGAACTACAAATTTCCAACTTACTTTTGTAAAATGACTAAATGTTTTCATTCACATTTGATTGTAAGATTAGCAAAACTGTATAAAAAATGATGATTTAAAACTGTGCTTTGAAAAAAACTAAATGTTTGTATTTTCATGATGTCATTAACTATCAAAGTGGTGACCATTGGGATGGTTGTGGTTCAGTTTAAAAATAAAGTAACACTGCCCTCTTGTGGAAACATGACACCTTGTTGAATTGAAAAGAGCTTTATTTTTCAATTATACTGAGACAACAATACACTTTTTTTCTGAAAGCTTTTCTCAAGAGGATGGCATTGTGACAAAGCATCCACCATTTAAAAATTGCAAAAATATATTCAATTTCCCTTTCACCATACTTTTAAGTTTAGCAGTGAAAAAAAACGTACTAGCTATGCAAAGATGAATCTCATAAAAGGAAAAACACATACAAAGCTTTAAATAAAGAAATTTGTTCTCCTAGGTAGATCAATTGCAGTGATTTTATAATGCAAAATGTTTGATTTCACATTTCCATCGGGGCGCTGTTTTTCCAGTACCAACAAATCAATTAAACACACCTGTTTGCTGGCCTAGAAATGGAAATTATAACCAAATCCAGGCTGTTCTTTCATATATACTTGTATGCAATTGCAAACATTAGAGACAGTTTAATATCTGTCCTGGAAAACCATTTCCTGGAAAAAACATTGCATTTTTAAAATGTCATATTTTCATGTCTGAGGGAAAAAAATCTACTTAAATATGATCTCATGTCAGTGCCAATACACTTAATACATTTTACAACTCAATCTAAAAATTATGATCAAAGCACTTTGAAAAGTGGCAACAGTGTGAAACTACAGATGTGTAAATACTGCTGGTTCTAGTTTTTTTTCTTTTCTTCCAGAATACCAATGATAGTTACATGCAGAGTAAATCTGCTCTTTGAATAAAAAAGGCACCTTCAGTAGTTAGCTCCTGCAACAGTAAATAAAAAAAAAACATCACAGTTAGCACTTGAGAAGCCCTTTTTTTTAACCACGGTTTCCGAAAAACAACACGTTCACATGAATGATACAATTATGTTCATTCATACTATGATTGGACTGATATTTGTATCACCCATAATGCAATTTTTCTGATTATTTATTTATTGTACAATTGACCTATACTACTTTAGTGGCAAATGGTAAGCCCTTAAATTTAATTAGTTCTGTAACTTGTTATTACTTGTAAGATCTCACAGTCTAAATGGTGTTATGGAGGCGTTTCCATCATTAAATCTCCATTAAAAATGTTTCAGTACCTTTTTATGAAGAAAAGATTCTGTGAAACAAAAATGTATTATTTTCTATATGTAAGCAGGCCTTGTGGTCTTTTTTTTTTGTTTTGTTTACATACAATTTAACTATGCCTCATTGATTTCCAGATCCAGTACCAGAAATAAACACACAGTTGTTTTCAGTTATTTTGACTGATCAGACATTTTCTCAAGTTGGTTGGAGCTATGTAGTACATTTGCTAAGCTCGTCATAAAGAATCATAAAAGAGTGTAAGGACTGGTCCTGAGAATAGACCCAAACAGCCAGAATAATGAGAAAATTTCTGTAGGTGTATCGGAGCTTTAAGAACCAGCATTTCTTTAGCTCTGATGATACTTAATGCTCATGATTAATTAAGACCATCTGAGCTTACAATTCTCCTTTTTCCAATAGTCAGTGCTAAATAAATATCATTTTATAGGAAACTTTCATATGTGCCAAGACAGAATAACTGTTGCTAATCCTTCAAACATCCCAGAATACCAAAGGTAAAAAAAAACAAAAAACATTTAACTTATGCAAAAGAGCTGCTAACTGAGTGACAATCAGCCCACTGAGTATTTGCATCGAGAACACAGTGAAAGCAAAGCACATTATTTTGTATATAGATTTCTGCAATGATTCATCTGATAGTGGTGCTTGATAGGACTGGACAGTGAATTAAATTCCTTTACAGTTCATGATTATCTGATTATGAGACAACAAATGAAGCTAAAACAGAAAATGATTAAGACGCACATGGGGAAAAAAACAAATACTTAAATTAGACAACTGTTGCACAACAACTATCCAGTAACTGAACTTTCCTTCAAACTCAAAGACATACAGCAATAGTCTGATATCGCTCTGAACTATGCAGGCTAAACCCAAGAACAATTCAGAACAAGGATACCGTAATCTTGGAAATGTCTGAACATACATGTTAAGGCAAATATTAGCTTCATTCTCCCATTTTAAGCCATCATTAAGACAACAGTTGTGAGTACAGCTACATTGATGCAAATGGCCAGCGAACACTGTAATCTGATCACTATTTCCTACTTCAGGCCACAGCTAATTAAGGTGAAATAATAATACAAGTAGTGGCTTTTCAGATATATTATTTGTACCTGCCTTGGTACAAATAATTCCAGAAAGTTTAAAATGAGTCTAAAAGCCCGGTTAGCAGCCTCAGAGGTCAGCCTGTTCTTTACACCCAACTGAACCGAAGTTGTTTGAACTGAGTGGCTGACCCACAGTGCCATCCTCCCCGTGCTTCAGACACGGGGCTAAAAATCCCACAGTCCAATTTGTTGAAGGCATTTCTGTCACATCCATATCAAATCCCTCATCAAGACTTCAACCAAAGGAAAATCAAAGTAAATCAAAATCTTTGGACAAGCTTGATTATCAAGATAAATACCCTGTAAGCTTTTAAAACTGCATGTAGAGTGATGTTTCACAGAGCAACTTGTCATCATTCATCTACAGCGTAAATAAAGCATACTTACTGTGAGTACTGTATCAGTAAACAAACCTGTAACCAGAAGTCTTGCGAGTTGATAATGAAAAGGCAGTTCATGGTAGGCTACATGTGGGTGAAATTGACACTAACTGTGCACAAGTACTATCTTGAAACAAGCATTACGGTACTGGGAAGAATGGTGTTGTGTCATTCCAACATTTCTCAGAAATGAAACCAGACGTTGGCAGAAAGCTACTTCTTAGGATCAAAGCCCGAAGAAACTAGTCCTAACCACATTATTGTGTAGGTTATTAGGTTTTAAACTTTGTGTGATACATTGAGATAGGTTTTGGTCCTGTAGAAATAGAAGTTTTATATGGATGATAAATTGAGTTTGCATGTAGTCTGAAGAGATGCACTGTTCATGGTAAGACCATATAATAATGTCATTATGGGGTCTTATTACTGTAACTAATGAACAATTCATGTGATTGAATGTGTTATGTCAACATTTGACTTTCTATCAGCAAACAGCAGATAAACAAATTCCTCTGTATGTTAAATATAAAGGCTTTAGTAGCATCTGTTTTCCCCTAAGATTGATTGTACTATCAATTTAATATTTTTTTTATAATCAACACTTTTTAGTTCTGACAAGATAAAAGGATAGAATAAAAATGCAATTAAGGAACGATCACATCTGTTTTGCATTTCAGAAAAAAATTGGATTTGGCTTTCCCTGCGTCATCTGACCATTTTACAGCAGAACGAAATCCAGCCATTACAGCGATAATCATCATTGAAAACCATAACGTTAAAGGGCAATTGATCACGAGTTGGTGGTCTCAGCCCACTCCTCGATTCCATTGACACTCGCAGGAGTAAAGTGAATAGTGTCTCAGCAACTCCAGGACCCAGCTGGGCAGTCTTTGGGTCAATTAGGAGTCTTTTGGTCCAGTCATATTACACCCTGCTGAGGGTAGACGCCAGTTACTAGGAAAATTCTTGTGCTCGGTCATAATCTGTGATCAGGCCTTTGATATGTGACAGTTTCTGATGAAGGTACTCGCATCGCTTCTTCTCTTCCCGATACCCAGGAAACTTCTAAAACAAGACAAAACAAAAAAGGGGGGGCATCAGTGAGCTTTCAGTAACACACATCAAAATCCAACACGATAGGCGTCATGCAAGAACATTTTTGTATTCTTGTCATAAACCTCTTATTCGTTTGAGTGTTTCAAGCAAACCCTCTTAACTGCACAAACTTGTTATAAATTGCTTATTTCAACCTGATGAATGCCACCTGTTCACGAGTAGCTGCTCATTTGTGAGATTTGGTCATTAGCATAATTGAAGCCTCCACATTGCTATATCAGGCTCATTTGTCCAATAGATTTGTGAGAAGATTTCACTCACAAAAATGTGACAAAAACACATTTGGGTGTGTCAGTAGGGCAGTGATATTACAACATTACCACAGCTATCAGAACCATGTCAGAAATACAGAAGGAATGGGCTGACATGAAGTTAGATGCCAAATATCTTGCTAATGCAAAACAGTCGATGGAGGTCATGGGAGGTGGTCCAGGAGACATGACATGATAAGCGGTAATACATTTGATTACAGGTGATGTTAAACTGTCAGATGCTTTAACAAATGATGTTCCCCTGGACAGAAAACTGCATATAAATCTTGACTGACGCAGAATATTCCGAGCAACTACGAAACTGTATAACTTCTGCCAAAATACTTAAATCTAAAAGGAAAAGGTTGTCTAACCTCTCAGTCAATTGACAAGCAATGATACACATCACACTGATAAGGTGAACAGAATATTAATATTACATAATGTTTTACTTTATTTTTGTTGATTGCAGTTACATATTTAGGCTTGGATCACTCAATAAATGTTTAAATGCAAGTAAAGTGGTAAATGTATAGGTTATTTTAAATCTCTTGTATGTGCCATTTAAAGGAGTGGAGGAGTGGTTCTTGCACTGTATAGCTACATGCTAATTGTCACATAAAATTATATGAAACTTAAATAACTCTTACTTTCTTATACTTTCGGTACTTTTGTAGTATTTGCTCCTCCATTAGCTGAAAAGATTAGAAAAGAAAAAGTGTTAGAATTCATGTATCTGATCTGTTCACTGTGTGACGTTTTATTAGAAATAGAACAGTTAAAGGCTCCTGGTCCAGACAGTACCTTGTACTCTTGTGTTCCCGGGGAGAGAGTGTTGATCTTTGAGCCCAACTGAACAAACATCTCTGTAATAGCCCCAATACGGTCATGAAGAGCTCTGTATTCATCGTACTCGGCACAGAAGTCATCCTTGTACTGTTGACGCTGCTCCAGTGCTGTTATGGTGCTGTATTTTCTGAAAAAAGAAAACATATGTGTTGAAAGCTGTTATTTAAAAGCAGAAGTGATCTCTTGAAGCCAAGTTGTCTTCCCCCAATGCTTCCAGTGGAGGGCACTGCAGAACAATGGGGTGAGAGGCCTGACACGTCACTGATGTAACATCATGATGTGTTGTCCAGATGTATCAAATTTAAGCCATAAGATCATTTGTTTGCAAAGTCAATCTCAGTGAAAGCTTTGTGACAGCTCATTAAGGCATGTGTTTTACTGCCCTGAATTTATGTGAATGTTTTGAAGCCAAATCTAATAATTTTGTAACAAGTGGGTGTCTTTTCTCAACAACAGTGGGTTAGACACTGAAACAGTGACAGATTAGACTTATGTGGACCCACTGATGTTGTGACACTTGGATTTCATTCCTGATTCCCATCATAAATCCCTTCTGAATCTGGGATTATAACATATGGCACAGTCAGGGACAGTGTATATTTATCTTACATTAAATAGTCAGGAAGTTCCTCTGCTGAGGTTCGATTGACAGGTGTTTTCTCTCCCTCATGCTCTGTAGATAGGAAAAACACACACATTGAAAAAAAAAAGGTTAAAGCAATCCGCCAATGCAAATGCGATAATGTGCCCATCATATCAAGGCTGATGGAATAATTTATCACTGTCTCCGATAAGAGATCTGATCCAAGGCAAGCAGTGACGTCAGCAGCTCAGAGTAGGAGGCAATGCTGCCTGCTGACTCGCTCGACCGTAGGTCACCCAGCTGTTTCACAGTCAATCATCAACAGACTAGAGTGGGGAGAGAGGACTGGAGGGAGGAGAAAGTGTTGCAGTCCTAACAACACTCACTGCTCTCTCAAATGAAAATATATGAATTGCTGTGTTTGGGCTTCCAGCAGCAACTATAACTCAACCCTGAGGATTTTTTTCCTTTTTTCTAAATTAAAGCTGATAATGCCATGGCCCAAACAAACAATCTTAAACCGATTTATTAACCTCAATAGGGTACATGAAGTGTGACAAAACAGTTTTATAGTTTTATGGCCATTTACCATTTTTATGGCCATTTTCTTGGTTTTGCTTCAAGTCTGGACTGGTCTCAATCCATTCTGGTTTTAAGCGCTCTCGTTCCTTGTCTTTGTGCTTTTTGGACCTCTTCTTTTTATGTTGGCCATTGGTGATCTGTTGGTCAGTGCAAATGGACGTGTCAGTGTGTGGGCGCTTAGAGCTGGGTGCAGTAGGGGCTGGCTCCGTCCTCTCCAGTTTGGGAATGGTGGAAGACGCACTGAGTTTGTGCGGCGAGTATAGACGATTTGGGCTCCCCTGGAGATGATTGTTGGTTTTGTCAAACTCCAATTTGACCTGTACACTTGAGTTTCCATGACTGGAGGAGCTACGAGGCCCATTGGTGCCACACTCTCCATGAGAGGGCGACTGCAGAGGCAAACACTGGTCTAATAGTCTTTGTTTTTTGGGGGTCTGACAGTTGGATGGGTCTGAGGGCAGTAGGCGTTTCTAGAGGAAAAAAAGGAGCACAGGGTGAATTATTTGTTCTAACAGTAATCTGTTATCTATTCTCAGTCTTATAAGAAAGAACAACTAGGGGAAAATACAATTCATTCAAGGTGAATAATTACCACAGAGAGATTCTTGGCAGGACTGAGTTGTGAAGGAGAGTCCCCGGGAGTTTTGTGGAATGAATGGTTGGACTGGGGACTCTTCAACTGGCTACCGTGGAGTGGCTGAAGTTTCCTGAAGAAAGATTAAGAACACAGCACCTTCAGCTGGACAGTAACTGCGAGGTAAATGGCCTGTAAAGCTAAACAGGAAGAGGCAAGTATGTAGGTCATAAAGCTTGCTTTGGCAAGTGGATGAGCAATAATCATTTATATGACAGACAGAGAACAAACATCGGTGCCAGCTTGTCTACAGAAGAAGTAATCATTGACATTACAAAACTGACAATCTTTTTTAATTTTATCAAAGCTTTTTTGCATGTTTATGTGGAATGTTTTGTGTCTCTGGTAATGTAATCTGCAAGCACAAAGACTAAACACAGTCCAGTGAGCAGAACAATGGCAGCAGATTTCACCTTTGTAGGACCAAACCCTCTTCTATGGTAATCTGCTTCCTACAGCTCCTTCCTCAAACAGACGCTACAACAAGTCACAACCCCCATGTGGATTCATGCAACCCTCTTAATCATGTGGTGAGAGTGAGTGGAGTACAGAGCCATTAAACGTTAACATGAATGAAATGACTGGTAAGAAAGCCTAAATAAGAAGAACCTACTTCAACAAATGAATAAACTAGTGGCAAGAAATCTGGAGCATACAGTATTTACAAGCTATCACAGTTTTATCACACTTGGCAAACAATTTGGTGACTACAACTGATACACTTTTTACACTTAGCGGGGGGGAACTGAGGGGGTTGTGCAATCAGCCAACATGACTTTTATCTAAAATTCTCATGAAGCACATGGCCTGCATGTTTACTGACAGGCAGAGGAAACGTACAAGGGGAGGAAAAGCTCAGCCTTGCTCTTCCATGCTAATGCCATTTGGCAACACTGTGCAGGGGATATTTTCCTCTGCTTTGATGTGTCCATTAAGAGATTCATCAGTGCAGAGATGTAGTCATTTAGAAGCTCCCCTTTTCAACATGATCACAGCAGACTTCTATATTAATTCAGTGGTCTTTCTGTATTAACGCCAGCACTGTCAAAACGCATCCATCCCCTAGTCTTTTCTGCATTATCTGCCCAAACGGGTCCCTAAAGCTCTAAAAGAACTTTAAAGTGATAGTTTGACAATTTGGGAAATATTCTTATTTGCTTTCTTGGCGAGACTTAGATGAAAAGATGGATATCACTCTTATGTCTATGTGGTAAATATAGGGCTACCGCCAGACGGTGATTGGCTTAGCATAAAGACTTAAAACGGGGAAACAGCGAGCATGGCTCTGTGCAAAGGTAAGAAAAACCTCTACAAGCAAATCTAAAGCTCTGTTTTTGTATGGATTAAAGCAACTATTATAACAAATATAACATGTTAATTAGTGAGCTTTAGAGGTGCTGGTAGGTGGATTATCTGTTTCTGCCTATTTCTGGTCTTTATACTAAACTAATTGGCTGCTAGCCATATCTTAAGTCCCAAAATGTTGAACTATTGCTTTAAAAAATGGAATCAGAACATTTGTTAAACATTTCCAGATCACTCAATGGAAGAAAGCACACACAACACAAAAGATGTATTATGGCTAACTTAACACCCACTTGATCAGGAGCCTATGGATGAGCTGCTTCTCCTCCTCTAGATATCCAGGCCAGTCTCTCTGGACGTGTCTGTAGAACTCATCCTTCAGACAGTAGCTGTGGTCTTTAGGGTTCAGTTTACCAACCTGAAAAACAGACAGTTCCCATGTTCCCCCATGTTAATAAATTAACAGAAAAAGAGTAAAAGCACCAAACTGTGTTAACCTGCAATGTCAGGACTCTACCTTATATCTAAATAAAACAAGACCTTTATTCAGTGGGTCTGTATAGTTTATGTGGTAAACAGTTTAACCCTGCCCTTATACAACTTAATCCTGCTGATACAAATCTAGCCAAACCGACCACTTTCATTTCTGAAAGTAGTCAGATCCCAGCTGGAGACACCCCACCCCTCTCCTGTCAAAGCACAATCTTCTCCTCCAAAGATAATTAAAGCACAGCCCTAATTACAGCTAACAGCGGCGGCACAGTCTCCACTTGATGACTGCAGTGGGACACTCAAACATTGTATACGCAGGAAATATGCCTAAAATAAACTTACTGGCATAACCTTTTTAGAGCCTAGTTTTATAGCTGTACAGCAGTAGTCTGTTCATTAGTATCATTAGCAAAATAACTCAGGGACTCATTTGTGTTTGAAGTCTTAAGTCTTGACCTAATATCAACTGATTCTAAAAGCAGCAAAATTTGTATTTATCACACTTAACATTTTAGTACTTTTTTTACTTGTTGCATTTGGCTATATTTCATTATCAGTGGACAATGTGCCAGATGTCTCACCTCATCCAGTACTGAGGTCAGATCAGCCTTGTCCTTTGGGCTGGCCCGCTCCCTCTCCAACCACAGTAGCAGCTCAGGTTTCCTGTAGGGCTTTAAGGCCAGGAGATGAATGATGCGATCCCTCAAGGGCCGGTGTGCCACAGGGCTGGGAACCAGGCTCCTCTTGTTGCTGGGAGAGTGCTTGTTGCTGCTATCTGAGCCTGATACCAGACCCTGCTTCCTCTGGACCTTCACGCACTTACCTAAGATCAAAACAAAGGGTCACACAGCAGAGTTTCAACATGACATTTGTGGAAGATACGGGTACGTTTTTTCAGTCAGAAGGTTATCATGGCAGAAATCTAAAGCTGTTTTCGGTCTGGCCATGCAGTCACTACCCTACACAAAACTGGAGAAAAAGAAGGAGATTATTACAGATCTGATAACAGCATTCACGTACGTTGAAAGTATCCTGTAATAGCACAGCCAACATATCATTCATAATCCAGTCCTCAGGCCATACAAATCACAACCTGATTTTGAAAGAGACCAACACACGAGAGACACCCTCATACATTTTATCTTCATTTTATCTCTCTACTGACATGCAATCTGCTTTATGCACACGCAACAGATACTGTATGTGCCGCACTTTCAGCCCAATCTGGAAAGGCAATTTACATACATAAATACTCTGAACACGGTACTGTGCTCATACACCTTTCTGTGTCGGTGTGCAGAGGCAGTGTTGCTGCGAGTGGAAAACAGTGAAAGGGGTTGACAGTAGGGTTAGCCTGCTGCTGAGTAAACAGAGGAGCATGGAAACTAAAGCAACTAGCACAGAGAGGCCCTTTCTTCCTGTTGCAGTACTAATTCAGTTCGACCAAAGCAGGCCGTGCTTATAGATATCTTCAGACTGTAATCTCATTACAACATTAAGCCATACTTTGGAGGGTTCTATAGGTCGAATACTAACAGCGCTTTTGCAGGGACAACTTTACACTAAAAGTAATCGATATCAGTTATCAATTTTAGCAATATACAGTATTCCTTTTAAGATTCAAATAGTCACTTTAAACTCACAATGCAAAACGCAACAGTCTTGCAGGAGCTTGTTTCAACATCTACCTTCAACCAGGTCCTATCCTTTCTGCACTGAAACAACCTGTACTGCCACATTTCAGACAAGCAGCAACTAGAACCATTGGTTGAGGGTAATAAATTAAAGCAGTTTTAGGGAAGCTCTCTCTAAAGGCAGTTTTTATGGAATGATCTCATAATAACAGTGATGTCTCACTTATAACTGACTGCTTTACAGTATTGTGTATGTATTCATGAGCAATGACCAAACAATACAAATAGCAACTCATTGCAAAAGAAGATTGATATTATAGAGGAAAGTTATTATAAATGGTGAAGTAGGAGAATAATGACGTCAAAATGTAAACTTGATTTTAAAAGACTTACAACTCCAAAACCAGTTGTGCACAACTTTCAGTTGTCTATTTGTCAGTGTTTCCTTTCTGCTGAATGCAACTGAACTTAAAATCATACATTATTATGTAAATTGTGGGCATTTGTCTACTGCAACCAGTAATTGTGAGTTGGTATATGGACATTTTTTTCTGATAGGTGTAGCATTACTGTACCATAAAAAGACAGTTGGTCACCACAAACTGTGCACTCTCCTCTGCATATGGCACACTGTGTGATCCATAACTCATTTATTCTTCCCTCTGGTATCCACGAGAAGGGAAGGACAGTTATGTGTTTGAAAAGATAAAAATGGGATATCCTGTAATTGTATTTTTTAAAGCAGGATCTCACATGTCTTTTAACATTTATTATATGTATACATGTTCCAGATTTATTTTATAAAGGCCTCCGAGAGACTGTTTCTGCAGCAAAGCATGTAATGTGTAGGAACCAGTTCCAACAGCTGGATTTTACAGCAATTACCCTGAACATCATGTTGTAGCATTGGTCTACACGGTTTCCATTCCTAAGATTTACAAAAGCATTTAAATCCACACAGGACCTCTAAATATCATGAAGCCTCGTGTCTACATTATTTATACAGTTGAAGCATGGTCAATTAAATCGACAATGACTCTCAAACCATGACTCAGGCAGTGAGGCAGTAAATAAAGAAAAGTAATTGCATGAAAGACATCATGCATGTTAGGCCCAGATCACTCCAGGTTATCAGTGGCCTCTTCTTTAAATGATGTATTTTATCAAATGAAAATGAATTAAATTCCAATCAGTGTAATTACATTTTAGGAAAAACTTCATCAGCATGAGACTTGTTAGCACATACTTCTGGCAAACTCAATCACATTAATGGTGCTGGCAGGCAAGTTGGCACACTGCCTGAGCAATCTGGTAAAGAAAAAAATGAAAGGAAAATTACAAGAAAAAGAAGCATCCCTCTCGCCTGAATAATTGCAATGCAGCACTTTGATCAATTATGTGATAACTTTCCCACCATATGGCAATTATCAGCAGGATGAAATGGTGAGACTCAATGGCTTAGAAGCTTTCTGGGAACACGACAACTTTCTGGTTATCTGTCCTTGATCCCTACGTGCTTGAAGGCTGACACAACTGAGGCTGGACGATACAGCAGAATGTAGATACAGCTATTAGGCAAAAGCTCACTTGGCCCCGGCTTGATCTCAATTGCTGAGCGGCTCCAGATGTCCTTCTCCACCTGAGACATGCGCTCCCGGGTTGTCTGGTAGGAGTCGTCTGTGGCACAAACTGTAATCTTGTCCTGAATGCTGCCCTGGCCCTCCAGGTGATCCCTGCCCTCCCTGTGTAGAGAAGCGAGAAGATTTAAGAGTTTAAGCTTACAAATTCTCTGGCTCGGCTCAATTTACTGGCCGTTCGTCAAACACAAGTATTAGAGATTCTTGCTGTCATACAAACTGGTTCTGTGACTTGTGTCTGCATGTCAATTCTGATCCTGTGTTATAAAGCAACCTTTATAAAGGCCAAAAATACAAATAAAGCAGCTCTAATCTAAACACTTTAACCAACCTTTTGACCCTGCATAGCCACAAACAGTACCTCTCTGTTCTCAACTATTACTGGTAACACCTTTAAATGATGGCTTTTTGGTGTTGTTGTAGTCTTATTTGAATATAGCAGTGGTACTGAGGCCATGCAGTCTCAGACTGACACTAAATTTAATACAAATTCCATTTGTGGTCGACTGTGGAAAGAGTTGTGTGCTTACCCTGAGACGTACTGATGAATGCAGTCGAAGCTGGACTGAGGCTTGTCTTTGCTGTCACTGGACAGGTAGAATGAGAAGACTCTCAATCCATCAGGGGACTCAGGGGTCGGTGCTGGGATCTTTATGTACTATCAAGACAAAAAAAAGACACAAAAAAACAATGAAATTATCAGAAACATTGTTCAGAGAAGCTAAATATCTTCTATAATGAAACGTAAAAACAAAGTACTTTATTTGTGTTAAAAGTCAGGTCATGGTCATTTTGAACCTTCAACAGTTTTCAGTGATCTTTCGCACACTCTGACATGCTGGCATCTGCTAGCAATGCTAATTTGAGTGGTGTGTTATGTAATAAGCATGTTTTATCTCTCCCAGATGTGATTCAATGTAATCTCGAAGTGGAAAAACACTGGATAAAGTAATACAACAGAGTAGCTTTTTTATTGAGACTGATTAAAGCAATCTTGACTCACTTCTTTTTTTTCTTCTTTTCTTCATACAATAAATCTGACCTAAATAATGTCCTACATGGGCCAATCACAGAGGTTATATGGTACCTTCCAGGTCAGGGATGATGACCTGTAGCTAGTCATGGGAGGAGCCTGTATGACAGGCAAAACATAACAATAGTATAGCAGACAGCTTTTTCACTTGGGCGATAACCTCTTCTGTCGGAGTCTGTCCACAGTTCCCTAGCAACAAACAAGCCAGCAGGGTGAAGTCTATCTCTGTCAGGAACCTGTTACATAAAATGACCCAAAAACCCACTTTCACTGAAAGGACAGTTCAACATAGAAAGTCATTAACCAACAGGTAATATGTCCTTAGAAACACATTTGGCAGTGGTTCTCCTCTACACACCGCCTGCAGCCGTGTTTCAGCCTGAAAATGGACAGTTTAGTACTTTTGTTGATAGAATGTCCTAGATTCAACAGGGGCCAGATGATTATCAGCCATCCTTTACAAGCGTGAATACGTGCTTACTGATGAGTTGTACTTAATGCGAGATGGCTTCAACAGCTCAAATCTTTCCCCTCTTTCACTTCTTTTTGTAGCAGGCCTCGTTGCACCACCACAGGCCAAAGCACACAGGCGCTTTTTTTTTTAACTGCAGGTCTCAAGAAAAACAAATGTCAGTCAGATGGACTTGAAGCTGCCTCTTTAGTTATCAGTTGTAAGTGATTGATTATAAGCTGACTGGCTGAGAGCACAGTGTCCCTGGCAGATGTGGCAGGCAGGACTATAGCTGTCACAAATGCCCAGTCATGCAGCAAAGCCATAAGCAGTTTTTTTTTTTTTTTTTTTGCAGCACAGAGCCAATGAACAGCTCCTCTCCTCGACACCCCTCCTCCTCTCCTAAAACCCAACGCATGCCATTCACCCTACCCCCATCAAGCCTCCAGCTTCCCTTCATGTGCACAAGCCCACCCATGTCAACACAAAACGCAAAGCAGCCCACAAGGCCATGGACACTTGAGACACACAGCTGACCATTAATTCTGACCTATTTCTGTCTGACTGTTCACGTGAAGTGGTAAAGCAGATTCCTGCATATGTCTGCTTTGGGGTTTACGCTAATTAAGGACGATCAACCAAAAAAGCATCAAAGTGAGCAGGGGCAAGAGGCAAGCTATATCCTCAGGAACTATTACTTTAGAGAGTAAAGTAGTAGCCGCCTTGACCAAAATGAGAAGCAACAAGTCAATAAAATTGGATTATTGATGTAGAGAAAGGCACGCAGAAGAAGTGCATTTGTTTTAAAATGAAAGTGCTGCTAAACAAAAGCTAGCTTGTGATAAGATGAGAGCACGCATTTACACAGTTAGCATTGCAATAGTGCCACCACGTCCACTCTTTCAGTCGATGGCAGCAGTATGAGACCCCTCCAGCCATGCATTAGATTTGCCTGTCACCCCCATCCATGCCACCGTGCACACTTCACATTCTAATTCTAATCAATGTCACTCAGGTCAGACTGTTCAGAGGTCGCCCCCGTTTTATTCACAGCTTCCTTCTCAAGCTTCATAACCATATGTCATTTAACCCATTAGTCCCCAGTTCTGACTCCTAAAGCAGAGCCTTTCTGTCTGATGCCAGGATCACAAATTTAAAAAAAAAAAACCTGACACAAATAAATTTAAAAAGGACATCATTAACAGATATGTTGTTATATATAGATATATGTTATGTGAGTCTTTCTTGCTGGGAGTTAGTTGAGAGGATTGATACCACTCATGTTCGTACAATAAATAATACAGCTAGCTTAGCTTAGCACAGTACGAAGATAACAAAAAATGATTTCATTTCTAAGAAGAAAGTATGATTTAATATTTCATAAGTTTTACAATTTTGCTCTAATGCTCTGAATTCAATGTCCAAAACAGTTGAAGTTCAAATCCATAATGTTGTAATAATTTATATATCATCAATATTGTTATTCTGTCTCCATCTGTATGGTGGTGAACACTATATAGTGTGTTTATCATGGTTGGATATGCTCTTCTTGCTCTACTATTGATTCTACTGTTGAAAATACCAATGTTTTCTATCTTTATCACTTCAGGAAATAACATATTCACAATCATGTTGACATCATGACGACATTTTCGCTCCATACCAAGAAGAACCAATTCAACAACTTCTCTGTAGACTGAACAACCAGGGGTTTACAGAGTACAGCTTTATATAGTGACAGCAGAAAACACTAATCGTCACAGCCAATGTATGCAAAGTGGCCCTCTTCGTCATCATCCCACCCAGCCTGATGACATTTTAACTCTGACTCTTGTTTTTATGTGTTTAGTTAGTGACACCACTTGTGGAGACAGGTTTGTGATCCTGGAGCTGCTGTCAGTCAAGTAGTAGGTGTAGATTTGCATAGAGACACTGAGTTATAGACTCCATATGGCGCTTTAGTGTGATCCCCCGAGGCTCTGTGTGTGAGTGTGTTGTCATTTTTAGGCAGAGGAAGCCCCACACTCCCACAAGGCACATGCATGGAGTAGGGTCAAATATCTAGCTGATGATTTATGTCCCATGTCAACAGAGACAAACTATTACGAGTCACGGCGTACAGTCATCGACAAACAAAAATAGAAACAAATACACTGCACTTACATGGATGTGAACATGGTTAATGAGTCACAATAAGTACCCCCTGGAAGTTTTTTTTTAACTTCTCAAATTGGCAGACAGAGTTCAGACACAGCTAATAACGGGAACGTGGGGCTAATGGGACAATAGAGTTCCAGTACTCCCAGGTCAGGGACTGGTGAGTCATGTATACACATCCATGTACCTGAGAGAACCTCTGCTTACATGACTCCACCAAACTGTGACATCGAAGTGTTTTTAAGTGCATTATTGAACTGTTAGATGTTATGCTTACATTAAGTAATATTTACCTGCACATCAATACCATGATTGTATGGCATGCATATAAATGGTGATAATGTTCTGGCATGATGCAGCTAATAAGGAATGAAGAGTCAAGTAAAGAAATCCCTTTTTCTTTCATTTCTCACTACTATTAATAAAAGATAATAAAATTCATCTGGACAAAAAAAAAAAAATACATTATATGTAGTCATCAAACATTTTGATGCATCCAGATGCATTGATATTAGTTTTACAATCACATCATAGTCCTTTGAATCAAAATCGGAATCGAATCGTGAGGTGCTTAAAGATTCCCACCCCAACTGCGTTTGTGGCAATTATTTGTTGTCTCGTGCCACGGCTCAAATTGTTGTGACGTGGAATGAGCTAGAAACATGAAACCCAGCCCAATAAATGGAAATGATGTGCACTATGTGTCCAGTTCAGAATGATGGAAAGAATTCATTAAATTGCTTCTGCTCCATAGTTTTCTAATTATGATTGTGTGAGTCTTTAAATCTGATGATTAATTAATCATAGAAAAGCTTAATGGGGTATTATTATAATCAGAGCGTACTATTAACATGGGTTAGTTTAATAAAAATGTAACCGCTTCATAAAAGCAGTAACAGCTGTGTGCTGTAATGCTACCCATTATCATGAAGTCACGTTTAGCTGTTGGACAGTTCAGAGCAACTAAATGGCATCAGAACAGCAATCCTTAGCACCTTGTCATTGCAGCCCCCCATGGAGAGTACAGGCTGATACAATAACTGCCTCTGTGGCCACTGCCCAGCCACATCTGCTACTCCAGGGCCTGTGTGTTTGGAGATGTCAAATACTTTCAAGCTGTTATAAGGTGTGAACTGGACTGGAACAGAAAATCTTGGCAGGGGGCTCAGCAGTTGAACAAGGACAAAGGACACCACTGGTGATGTCCTTGTAAAACTTCATCTTTAACTCCCTGAGCACATTTAAACCGCTCACCTTTGATGGGGTTAAACAGAGTTCTTAACCCTGCCATTTGGTGAGGAAGGAAAAATAGCTTCACTAAAAAGATCTACCCCCACCCGTCCTGTGCTTTTGCAAGCCAAACATCTGCAGGCAAAGATGAGAGGATAGTTTCTCTCTCTGTCTTTCTTTTCTTTGCTCTGCAGACGAAAGCGAGAAGGCAAGGTTCCCTGCTCTGGTATTTGGCATGGCAACACTGAGATGGGAGCAGGCGCATGGATATGTGATTTACTCTGAAGTCTTTGCCTCCTGCCCCTGTCTGTACTGACACTAGTTACCATTGTCTTCTCATCTGAGCCTACTCAGCCATAGCTGCTCTGTGAGCTGCCTGTCTTTTGTTCTAGCGTCTTCCCCCACAAAGCTGAGTGCAATGGGCTGTCGGCCCGCCTGGATTATTCATGAACAGCGGGGACGTGTGGCTGGGTGTTGTGGAGTAAAGGGAGGGATTGGGGGTTTGGGTGTGTATGGGGGGTTGGGGGGGGACTCCCAGTAGAGTCAGTGCATGAGGAATGGTCCTTAATAGTGTTCCTTTAGGAATGTGCCGAGCAACTCAGCAGAGAAGAGGGGGATGGATCATGGCTGGAGCAACTGTATTTGTTCCTAATTCCCTCTTTATTTATATGGTTGTGCAAACTTGAGATCACACATCATACAACAGACTCCACAAGTTCAGGCATTGGCCCGACAGTAGACAAGATTTGACTGTCAGCCATGTTTAAGTGTCACATGCAGACAAGCA